GTTTGTAAATAAACTTTTGTTAGAACACAGCCATGCCCATTCATTTACCTATTGTCTATGGCTAACTTCATGATACAGTGGCTTCAAAAGTCTTAAACTATTTATCTGCCCGTTATGGAAAAAGTTTGTTAACCCGCTGGTGACAAACAATAATGAAGGATACCTTTTTTAAAAGATTCTATTCACTTATCTTTAGAGGGGAAGGGAAGGAGAGAAGGAGAGAAATATCAATGTATAGTTGCCTCTTGCATGTCCCCTGCTGGGAACTGGCCTGCAACCCAGGCATGTGCCCTGACTGGGAATCAAACTGTGATCCCTTAGTTCTCAGGCCTGCCCTCAATCCACTGAGCTACACCAGCCAGGGCGAAGGATAGCATTTTATATATGTGAATTGTAGAGAAAGCTGTCTAAAGAATCTTGATATTTTTCTTTTTAAATTTTTTACAATTTTTTCTTGTTTATTCTGTTGTAGTTGTCTCGATTTTTCCCTCTTTGCCTTCCTCTGTCCCACCACATCCCTCACTCTCAGTCCATGCCACCTATCCCACTATCCATGTCCATAGGTCATTTATACATATTCCAAAGAATTACTCTCTTCCCCTACTTTCATCCCCTATCCCCTTTCCTCTGGCAGCTGTCAGTCTGTTCCCCATCTGCATGTGTCTGGTTCTGTTTTGCTCATTAGTTAATTTTGTTCACTAGACTCCTTTTATATGTGAGATATCTTCATTAAGTTCTTTTGAATTAGTGTTTTAGGATTCCCAGCAGTGGAATGGCTGGGTCAAAAGGCAGTTCCACTTTTAGTTTTCTGAGGAAATTCCATACCGTTTTCCCCAGTGGCTGCACCAGTCTGCAATCCTTCCAACAGTGCACTAGGGTTCCCTGTCCTCCACAACCTCTCCAACACTTGTTTGTTGATTTATTAATGATGGCCATTCTGACAGGTATGAGGTGGTACTTCATTGTGGTTTTAATTTGTATCTCTCTAGTGGCTAGTGATGTTGACCATCCTTTCATATGTCTATGGGCCATCAGTATGTTCTTAGAGAGGTTTCTCTTCAGGTCCATTGCCCATTTTTTAATTGGATTGCTTTTCTTCCTGGAGTGGGGTCATCTGAGTTGTTTATATATTTTGGAGGTTAAACCCTTGTCCCAGGTAATCATTGGCAAATTTGTTTTCTCACACAGTCTGTTCCCATTTCATTTTCATGATGGTTTCTTTAGCAATGCAGAAGCTTTTAAATTTGATGTAGTCCCATTTGTTTATTTTTTTCTTTCTCTTGCCCTAGGAGATATCATCAAAAATATTAGTACATAAGATATCTGAATCTTTACTACCAATGTTTTCCTCTAGGAAAACATTTATGGTGTCAAAACTTATATTTAAGTCTTATCTATTTTGAGTTTATTCTGGTGTATGGTGTAAGTTAATGGACTACTTTCATTTTTTTTCATGTACCAATCCAGTTCCCCCAACACCATTTATTGAAGAGGCTATTTTTACTCCATTGTATGCTTGTGCCCCCCCTTTGTTGAATATTAATTGACTGTAGAGACATGGGTTTATTTCTGAACTGTCCATTGATCTGTGTGTCTATTTTTATGCTAATATAAGGCTGTTTTGATTACATTGGACTTGTGCAGTTTGATTTCAGGTATTGTGATCCCTCCTACTTTGTTCTTCTTTCTCAAGATTGTTGTGGCTATTTGGGGTCATTTTTTGTTCCATATAAATTTTTTATGTGTTTTTAAAATATATATTTTATTTATTTATCTTCAGAGGGGAAGGGAAGGAGAGAGGGAGAGAAACATCAATGTATGGTTGCCTTTCGTGCGTCCCCTGCTGGGAACTGGCCTGCAGGGAACCGGCCTGCAACCTGGGTATGTTCCCTGACTGGGAATCGAACTGCAATTGTCTGGTTCGCAGGCCCGTGTGCTCAATCCACTGAGTTACACCAGCCAGGGCTTGTTCCATATAAATTTTTGAAATATTTGTTCTAGGTCTGTGAAATATGCCATTGGCATTTTAATAGGCATTATATTGAATCTATAGATTGCTTTGGGTAGTATGGACATTTTAATGTTAATTCTTCCAATCTTTGAACAGGGTATGCTTCTATTTGTTTGTATCTTAATCTCTTCCGGTGTTCTGTAGTTTTGTGAGTACAGGATTTTTTTTTTTTTTTTTTTTTTTTTTACCTCGTAGGTTAAGTTTATTCCTAGGTACTTTATTTTTGTTGTTGTTGCTATAGTAATTGGGATTTTTTCCCAAGTTTCTCTTTCTGATAGTTCATTGTCGATGTACCAAAATGGCATTGACTTCTGAATATTGACCTTGTGTCCCGCTGCTTTGCCAAATTTACTTATTAGCTCAAGTAGTTTTTTGTTGACGCCAATAGAGTTTTCCATGTAGAATATCATGTTATCTGTAAATAATGACAGTTTTACTTCCTCTTTCCCAATTTGCATGCCTTTTATTTTGATTTTTTTCTTTAAATAGAAAAATGTAGTTGATCTAACATTTGCTAAGTTTTTATTTATTCTTTTCTTTCAAATTATATGTTTGTATTAGGGCCCTGACAACAGGTTAAGTTTGCCAGTTTTAAAAAATTTTTTAAAATTTATTTACTTTTAGAGAGAGGGGAAGGGAGGGAGGAAGAGATGGAGAGAAACATCCATGCATGGTTGCCTTTTATGTGGCCCCCACTGGGGACCTGGCCTGCAACCCAGGCATGTGTCCTGACTGGGAATCGAACCAGCAACCCTTTGGTTCCCCGCCCACACTCAATCCACTGAGCTACACCAGCCAGGGCAACTTTGCCAGTCTTTGGAACTATTTTTAGTCTTTCAATCAGTTCTTTTCAAAAGTCCTGAAGATAATGCTGTCACCAGATGCTGATTTACTACACAAATGCAGTGGTTTTTAAATGAACCGTGTATGTTTTTATACATTTCATGGATATATGTGACTTCCCTCTGCATCTCAAAAAACATTTTCTCTTGGAATCCCCCAACCTTAGTCTCTTCCTTCCCTGGGGTGCTTCTTTGCGGTGGGCTGTGAGACCTTTACTGACAAACTCTTAAACAGCTTAGTCATTGAGGAAAGGGTGACTCATTCTAAACCCCCTTAGAGTTAAGAAACCCACCATATGCCTATGCGAGGTGAATCATTAGACTGGGACAGCATGCTTGGTGGATACAGTTCAGAAAAAAATCCCACTTTTTATTCTCAACCTCTTTTCCTTTTACTGTAAGTTGGGTTAGGGTAAACATTTAAAAAATCATACATTACTCATTAGGGGTTTTAAAAAATTTAATCTTGCCCTGGCTGGTGTGACTCAGTGGATTGAGTGCTGCTAGCCTTCAAACTGAAAGGTGACTGGTTTGATCCTTAGTCAGAGCACACGCCTGGGTTGCAGGCCAGATCCCCACTAGGGGGCATGTGAAAGGCAACCACACATTGATGTTTCTCTCCCTCTCTTTGTGCCTCTCATTTCCTCTCTCTAAAATATAAATAAATAAACAAATAAATAAATAAAATCTTCAAAATTTTTAATCTTAATTTGCATTTTAGTTAATTCAGTATTCTTCATCCTTTGTTTTTATATGGTTATGTGTATATCAAATAATATAGATAGATATATATTTATGTATATATCTACATCTTCTTTGTGTGTACATGCATGTGTATAACTAATTCTTATTTTTTTGTAAGCCTTGATACTGAAAGAGATTAAGAGTAGAGGTTGTGATTGTACCCTTATAAGCTTTTTCTGCATCTGGACCTGTAAGTGATAAATTTTCCTCTGGTAGATGTTAATGTGTCACTCATTTACTAGCCAACAAGCAGGAGAGTCTTTATGCAAAGAATCATATCTATTGTTTCATTTTCCACTTAAATTATTTCTAGATAAAAGATGACAGAACACAGGAGTTCACCAATATTCCATTGATTCAATTAGCTACCATAGTAACTACTAAATTCTTATCTAAAGACTAGAATTTTCTTAAAATCCAGATAAAAATGATAACATTTGTTTGCAACTATTGTCAGGAGAGAAAAACACATGTACTAAATAATCAGTTGTTTAGCTCTATATGCTAGGACTTAATGTTTGAAGTTTGAAATATAGTGATAATGAGCAAATTTAGGAACCAGTTTATTCTCCTAATTACTTCAACTAATCTATCTGGTTGAAGATAAAAGGAGATGTGCTACTCGTAAGAACTGACAGGTCTGGGATAGATCAACAAAAATAGGAGTTTAGAGACATTTCAGACTATTGTATTTAGCCAAGTAATCCCATAGTTGAAGATATATTCACTCGGGAATTGTTGCCAAGGATCCAAATGCTATGAGCAACTTGTAACCAAGACTTCAGTGGTTGCTATTTGCAAAAGCCCTCGAATAAGCAAGGTGGAAATAATACTAGGATGGGTAAATATTACTATAGTAACAACTTATTTTCTATTAGAAAATTTGGAAAATAAAAGCAAGAATCCCTGCAACTCATTGAAATAAATATATGTTGTACAAAATGGAGACTACAGAGAAGCAAAGGTCATGCTTCTGATACTGCTTTTTATTAAGAATACTTTTCTCCATGAGGTGGTATAATATAAAGTATTGCATTTTGAGTGACTTTCTAATGTACAGTTTAGTTTGGATATAATCACAAGGGAAGGTGTAAATCCCTGAGAAAGCAATAATCATTTTTTTTGTTAGTATGACAATACTAAAATATGCTCTTCAAGTGAGATATAGTATTCTAGAGAAGCTAATTATCTTTTTAAATTCCATTATCTCAAGTAACTCTCTTGATTACAAAATTCTTTAAACACAGACTAGGTCTTTTGGGTTTTGACTTTTTTCAATTTTAAGTAAGGTTAAAAAAAAAGGTCACATAGTTATGAGAGCCATTTTCTTATAATGAAATACTGACAATTAGTTTCTTGATCATCTTTTACCTGTGGTGTTGTCAACCCTAGGTGTATATTAGAATCACCTAGAGAAGTTTGTCGAAAACTTCTGTGCTCTACCTCAAATTTCTCTCCACGGAAATCTTTAGTAAAAGGTGAAAGATTTATACGATCTGAAGAGAAACCAGAGTATCCACCTCAAATTTCTGATTTAGTTGATTCAAGGTTGGGGCATGGGCATTTGTATGTGTGTGAAAGAGATTTCATATGAGGATTGTAATGTGCAGCTAGGTTGGGAATTACTGTGCTACACCCTTAAAAATCATTAACAGCGAACCACATCATATTGATGATCTGTAAAACGATTTTAAAAATATAATTTTAGGTAGATGCAGCAGGTTATGTCTAGAGAGTCTAGTGGTCTCAGAGGTCCCTCCATCTCTGAGTTGCTGGGATTCTAATCCTCATACCTCAGGAGCTGTCTCATTTATTAGCCACCTGTTTGAGACACTTACCAAGGAAACATCTTTATTATGAAGTACACCCAATCTAGAGGGGTTAGGATGTGATAACTGAATTAAGAGGTTCTACAGTGACAAATTTCCATTAAACAATCCTGTGAGACTGGTTTTATTCCATTTTGACAATTCAGAACACTGATACTTAAAGAGGATACCTAATTAGGAGGTGGCAGAGACAGGATTTGCAAGATCTATTTGTCTTAGACACATTTTTTCCCATTTTATTATATTTTCTCACACATTGAGTGGATATTCCATGGTCTTGGTTGCTTGAGTGCTATGAATGTATATGAAAAATATAAACTAAGAGAATGAGAGAGCTCATGGGCAGCTTATGTTATCACTTTGAATATCTTTGTGTTTGAACACATTTGGCTAATATGAATTAATGATCATTATTGATAGGTAACATATGCCCTTAATGTTCTCAGCCTATAAATGCTCTTTATTATTTTTATATAAAATTAGATTATGGTCATGTAACAAGTAAAACAGGTTTTTATAATTCTTTGCAGCAAAGAACTATTGGAGTAGCCTACTACAATCACATTTATTGACTGTGTTAAGTAATTTATTGAGAGTTCTGTAAAACTTGGTCATCTGTAGTTTCTTGGGGTCAATATTTATTAACTGAATGGCTAGTATGACTTTCTTCAGAACTTTATATGTCAGTTCAAGACTATAAGCTTAATAAAAAGGGGAAAGTATCCACTTTCCAATTACAGCAAAGATAATCACAAAAGCAATTCCATTTACTGGCTTTCTGTTATAATGAAAAGATACTATAGATATATTTTTTCTAATCCTCATGAGTTAAGTGTAGTTCTTATATTGCAGTAGAGAAAACTACACTTAACAAAACAAGCAAACAAACAAACAATCTTTTCCCAAACTGCAGTGCTAGTAAGTGGTGGAGCACAGATTGAAACCAAAGTTTTCTGATTCTAAACTCTTTGCTTTTAGCTATCTTGCTGGGGAGACTGTCACTCTGTTAGCACTCTGTTTTAAAATGTGACATTTTGCTCAACTTCCTTCAAAGTGATTGTTCCAAATTAGTTATCCTCATGTCTTAAAGATTCATTAGCCATATGAGTTCCTTCTTTTTAGCTGCTGCTTTGGGTATTTAAAAATCCTTTTATGCATGTATGCACATCTATGAAATACAATATGCATACAAAAATGCTATATTAGCAATTTGCAGCTAAAAGAATTACTGTAAACAAGCACTCATTTAACCGTCATGAAAGCCAAGAAGTGGAATGGCGCAGGACCCCAGAAGCTCTCTCTGTCCAAGTACTATCCTGACTTTGGGAAAATCACTTTCTTGGTTTGCTTTTTATTTTATTACCTAAATATTCATCCATACATTAGTTTTATCTGTTTTTGAGCTTTATGTAAATTGATTAGTAGCATATATACTCTTGCATCTGGTTTTATTTGCTCAACATATCAATAATGTCATTTCCTGCATAATGATCTTGGACATATTTTGTTACATTTATTCCTGTGTACTTATTATATTTTGATGTTATCAAAATGACATTTTTCCAAATTTTATTTATACTAAGTGTTGATTTATAAAAAAATTTACTGTGGAGCTTGGTCATATTCGGCGATCTTGCTAAAACCCCCTTTAAAAGTATAGTAATAGTGAATCCTTTGAGTTTTCCATGACTATAATCTTTTTATCTGTAAATAATGTCTTTTTAATCTTCCTGTCTTTTTTTTTTTTTGACTTACTGTAATGGCAAACAGCTCGAGTGCAAATGTTGCGTAGAAGAGATGATGGTGGGCATCCTTTCTCATCCTCTTTTCTGAGGGAGTGCTTTTGATGTTTTACCATTAAGTATTATGTTTACAGATTTTTGGTATGTGTCTTTTTAGAATAGGAATTTCCTTTTTTTTTGCTTAAGTTAAAAACATCATCAATAGATTTGGCTTTCTCTTTATCTATTGATGAAAATATTTTTCTTTTTTAATATATTAATATGGTCAGTTATGAGGGGGGACAAAAAACCTGGAATTTATTTAAAAAAATTGTGTACTCATTCTTACATGTTCAAAGTACTTTCAGTCACCTTCAAAGTACTTTCCATTTGATGCAATATAGCTATCAAGACGTTTTATCCACTGCTCAAATCAGTTTTTGAACTTGTCAATTTTGATGCCTTTTAGTACTTCTGCCTCTTTTTTTCACCTCCTACAAGGGCAAACTTTTCCTTTTGAGGACTTTCTTCATCCAGGAAAACAAAAATTTGCTCAGGGTGAAATTAGGTGAATAGGTGGGGCCCTGAGGGCATGCAGGTTTTGGTCAAAAGTGCTGAACATTCAGTGTGCTGTGGGCAGGTGCTCTTGTAAGTCACCCATCATGAAATGGGCAAATGAATTGAAAGTCTTCAAAAAAATTCACTGAAGCTGAATGCAGCCTTTCACAATGCCGTCAGGTGCACTGATACAGATGGGTTCCTAGAACACTTACCTAGCACGGGAATCCTGTACTATAAGGGTCCCTCCCTCCAGAAGATAATTTCAGCTTTTTTGAGTTCCCCTCTCCCATATGCTGATTGACTTTGAGTTTAACAAAAATTTAAAGTAAGTGTGAATTCTTGAGTTGAATTCAGTTTCATCATGGTGTATTGTGTTTTTTAAAACGTGGGTTTGGCCCCCGCTGGTGTAGCTCAGTGGATTGAGCACGGGCCTGCAAACCAAAGGATTGCGGTTCAATTCCCAGTCAGGGCACATGCTTGCGTTGCAGGCCACTTACTAGCAGGGAATGCATGAGAGGCAACCATACATTGATATTTCTCTCCGTCTATTGCTCTCCTTCCTTTCCCCTCTAAAGATAAATGAATAAAATATTTTTTAAATGTGGGTTTGATGTGCTAATATTTTAAGATTTTTGCTTCCATGATCATTAATGGGATTGACAGTACACTTTTCAATTCTACTTGTGTTTTTGTATTTGCTTCAATATAAACTCCAAGCTATGGAAAGTGCCCTTTACTCATGTTCTATGGCAGGGTTTGTATAATTTATCCTTAAACCTTTGTGTTAAGTCTTACTGTTTTCTTAAATTTTTGGTAGAACTTGCTGTTGAACCATCTGGTCATGCAGTTTATTTTTTACCATGTGAAGGTTTTTAATTATGATTCAGTTTCTTAAATAACCATTTAAGTTTAATGTTTCTTGTGAGTTTTGGTAGGTTTTATTTTTGTGAATTTTTTCAATTTGTTCATAATTTTAAACTTAAGAGTAAAGTTGATTGAAATATGCTCTTTAATTATCTTTATCTGTAGTTTTGTCTCTTTGTTCATCAGTCTCCATCAAAAGTTTGGCATATTGATTAATCTTATCAAATGGACAACTTATGCCTTTGATGTTCACTATTTTATTCTTTTTTATTTCATTTCTGTTCTTATTAATATTTCATGTGATTTCTTTGGGCTTTTGTTTCTGATATCTTGAGATACATACTTTTGTTCTTATTTTCTAATATCTATTTTTTCTAAGTAGATTTGGCTTCTTACAAGTTTAGTTTGTAGTAAATTCGTTATTCAGTTTAAATATCTTTTAATTGGTATTGGTTTCATCCTTGGGTTATTTAGATATCTTATTTAAATTTTAAATATATTGCAATGCATTTAGTTTTGCTGGTCATTTTTATTTCTTTTAATGTAGTTCTTCTGTAGGTAACTTTTTTTCATTTTTTGTTATTTTGAAAGTGTCTTTCTACCATGGCTGGTGTGGCTCAATGCATTGAGCACCAGACTATGAAGCAAAGGGTCCCAGGTTCGATTCCCAGTTAGGGCACATGCCTGGGTTGCCATCCAGGTCCCCAGTAGGGGGTGTGCACGAGACAACCACACATTGATGTTTCTCTCCCTTTCCTTTTCCCTTCCTTCCCCTCTTTCTGAAAATAAATAAATAAATAAATAAAATCTGTTTAAAAAAGAAAAATAAGTGGGATGTATTTGAAAGTGTCTTTTCACTAGTTCTAAAATTCTAGGTTAGAGCTACTCTATTCATATAGTTTCTTTTTTTTAAGATTTTATTTATTTATCTTTAGAGGGGAAGGGAAGGAGAGAGGGAGAGAAACATCAATGTGTATGGTTGCCTTTTGTGCATCCCCTGCAGGGAACTGGCCTACAGGGAACTGGCCTGCAGGGAACCGGCCTGCAACCCAGGCATGTGCCCTGACTGGGAATCGAACTGCGAATGTCTGGTTCACAGGCTCGCGCTCAATCCACTGAGCTACACCAGCCAGGTCATGTAGTTTCTTTTAGTACTTTGAAGATAGTTCATTTCCTTTTGACTTTAGTAATTTCTTCGGAGTTTGGGGGCAAGACAACTGTCAGTTTAATTGTTGCTCTTTTGAATGTAATTTGTCTTTTTTGTTACTTTTAAAATTTTATCTGCATCTTTAATTTTCATATTTTTACTATAATGTGTTTAAGCATAAGTTTCTTTTAATTTATCCCTTTTAGGGTTTTTAGGATTTCTTGATTCTGAGAATTGTCTTTAGTGAGTTTTGGAAAACTCAACAATCGTATTTCTATACTTTTAGCCCATTTCTCACTCTTCTATCTCCAGTAAAATATGCGTTAAATATTCTTAGTGTGTATTCTTTACATATCCCTCTGTTTTAGTTCTTTATTACTGCACACAAACCATT